TATGAATATCATAATTTGAGCTGTGGAGCTGTGGATCTCCAAGGGCTTAAAAGTTTGCATAAAAACTAAAAGATCATTGCGTTTCAAGTATTATAAACAAAAAACTAACGAGGACAGAGAAGCTTACTTGAGGTATTCAAAAATGCTTAAGAAGTGCATATCAATATCCCAAAAAAATTGCAATAACAAATATCTCCAGAACAGTCAGAATATTTGTAAAGCTTCATGGAAACTCATCAAAGATGTAACGGAAAGCGAACCTCCACAAAATTACATTACACATATGAAATACGAAAATACTATAATAACAAATGGGACAAAAATAGCTGAACTGCTTAATGATTACTACGTAAACCTAACTGATGGAAGGTATATGTATGACATTGATAAAAAGCGAAAGATACTATCAACGATCGATCATATATCAAAGTCAATTTTTCTTACAAGCTCTGCTTAGCTTGGGACTAGATGGCGTTGTGTGATAGTTGTGGAATATTATTATTATTATTATTATTATTGAACCGGTCAATTCAATAGAAATTACTCGTATTATACAACCATTAAACAATTCTAGCTCATGTGGGTATGATGAAATCTCAACAAAAATCTTAAAATTCTGTAAAAACGAACTAGCCCAGGTATTAACATACCTAATTAATTTATCATTTGAAACTGGATGCTTCCCTGAGGCGCTTAAATTGTCAATCGTGAAACCTATTCACAAAAAACAGAATAAATCGGAAATCGCTAACTATCGCCCAGTTACATTAATACCGGTGTTATCCAAGGTATTTGAAAAGGCCATGTAAAAACGACTGCTTGACTATTTAACAAAATTCAAAATCATTACACCGGAGCAAAATGGGTTCCAGAAGGGAAAATCAACTACCCTCGCGTGCTTTAATCTAATACATAACGTTATTCTTGGACTCGATGATAAACAGCGTACTACTTCCTTTTCTTCGATATGTCCAAGGCATAGCATAGGCAATAGCGTCCTGTTAGATAAACTGGAAAAGTATGGAATCAGAGGTCTTTCTCACTCTTGGCTTAAAACATATCTACAAAATAGACACCAGTGCGTAGAAATAAATAGGATAAGCGTGAGAAATACAACTACATCCGATCGTTCTGATTATAAAATAAATAATTTTGGAGTACCACAGGGTAGCGTTCTAGGTCCTATATTATTTTTATTATATATAAATGATTTACCGAGAGTGACTAAACATCAATGCATAATGTTTGCTGATGACATTTCCATTATTGTTAAATCGAATTATAATGACAATTTAAATAGTTATGAAAATGACATTAATAATACAATTCATAATATAGTTCAATATCTTAAATTAATTAATCTAAATGTAAATCTGAACAAGACCAATTTTATAAATTTTAATATAAAAAGACGAGCAGTAAACAATCTTAATGTGCTGTACAAAAATATAACTATTGAAAGGACTACCATGGCTTCATTTTTGGGTGTAGTACTTGACGAGAACTTAAATTTCACCGGCCACATTGACAAAATTTGTATAAAATTAATAGGTTTGCTTTCGTCTTAAGGCGTTTAACTAAGATAACGACGCTCAGCGTAACTATGTCTGCTTATTATGGTTACGTCGCGTCTAATATTAATTATGGTCTGGTTCTGTGGGGCAACAGAATTGAAGTAAATAGAGTTCTTATCGCACAAAAAAAATGTATACGTGCTATATGCGGTAAAGGTCCATTTGATACATGTAAGCCCCTATTCATTAAGCTGGGTATATTAACAGTCCCTGGCATGTACATATTACAAATATATAAATTTGTCAAACAACATGCAGAGTTATTTAAGTCAGCTTGTGATATATATCCACGAAGCACTAGAGATAATAAGCGGCTTGTCCTAGACCATAAACCAAAAACTTCTGTCTTTCAGAAAGGTTGTTACTGCATGTGTGTAAAAATATTTAATAAAATTCCAAAGCAGTTCAAGCACGGCTCTATGATTCTCATGATCAAAAAGTTACGTGAATGGCTAATAAAAAAATGTTATTATAGTGTTAAGGAATTTCAAAATGATAATAATATGCAGGTTGACATGTGATGGACAAAATTGCTGTGTATCACTGAGTATCACTATTTTATCTGACCTTTAATTAATGATCGGATGTATTTAAATTTTAATTATGACATTGACATTGTAAATTACGACATTTTGAATTATATACATTATATAAGTTGAATTATATACATTTAATAAGTTGACAATTTAGAATCTATTACCACCAACATAATTTGTACAATTTAAAAAAAAGTTTGCATGCCGTACCTCATGGCTAAATAGGTCTTTAAGCAACTTATTTTTATTGTAAAAACCTATGATTTACCCTATTTATGGCAAATAAATGAATTTGAATTTGAATTTGTAGCACTCGACGAATCAGTGTATTCGTCGAGTGCTAATGAAAAAAATTCAATGATCTTAGTTTTTTCATTTAATTGTTCCGCAATATTACCTGACAAAGACATAATACGTCTTTGGATAGTCATAAGATTCAGTTGGATTTTCTCAAACTTTTTTGCTGCTTCTGGACACATTTTCTTAGCGGCAATTTCTATGCATTCTTTTACAAAATCCCCATCATTGAAGGGGCGACTTCGCTTTGCTATCATTCGAGAAATATCATAACTAACTTCTGTAGCTTTTTCTGAATCTTGAATGGGTTTTGTAAACATAGCTTGCTGACTAATAAGCTTCCGTTTTAAAGACAACATTTTTTGCTTTCTTAATTCGCCTGTAAACTTGGTAAAAGTAGGATGCTGCGTTTCATAGTGCCTTTTTATATTATATTCCTTTGCAATCGCAACAGAATTCTTGCAAATTAAACAAACGACTTTGTTATGCGACCACACAAAAAAGTATTTCTCAGTACAAATTTCTTGAAACTGCCGATTTTCATCTTTAACCTTACGTTTTTTACTAGGTCCTGGCTTGTCCATGTTGCGTTCTAATCCTGGCTAGGATTAACACAGCACCTAAAAACAATTACTGTACCTACTTAAATTACCCATCCTTTTTTAAATTACCAAAAATAATTGATTAAATAGGTAGGGAAACACTTATTAATAACAGAGTTTTACTTACGATTTCACAACACAATTATACACGGCACATGACGGGAAATCTACGTTGAATGTGAATCAAAATATATGACACCGGCTAGTCGAGTTAAAATCTACACTAGAACTATTGACACTTCACTCAAATTAAAACCGAACTGTCGGTCGCTGCGGTTAGCGTGGCTTTTATACCGCGCGTATAGAGTCGAAAACTGTCTGGAGAAAACCGACTCTGGAAGCTTCGTATATCTACCTACGCGAGCAATCGGGAATTCGGGACTATTGCAATTCGCTTGCTCTAACAATATAACCCGTGGATAAGCCGTCACCACGCTGCCGTCGTCGCCGCGCCGCCGGCCGACTGAATCCCGGACTTTTCCAGTTCGGGGTCTTACGGACCGCCTCAGCTACGTCATCCAACGTTATGATGACAGGGTCCATGGGCGTAACACTCGCACACTGACTCGCTACAACTTCCGTCCAAGGGCCCTTGTTGTGGTTTACAGACTCGGCCGCGCCAGAATGCGACATTTTCAACTTGATTCGGTGCTGGGCCCGTTCCACGTATCATTGGCCGCTCCAATGATTGCTCCAATGATTCATAGAGCCACTTCTGATCACTCTGCTCTATTTAAGAAATTAATTAATGAGTCAATAATTCTGAGACAATAATTTAAAATCGCTTTGACATTATAATTTTAATTATTACATTTATTATATTATTATTTAGTGAATTATTAATATGTTAGTGCAAATATACAAATAGGATTATATTATGTTAATGTAATTATCAGTATTTTTGTATTTTAATTATATAAAAAAATCTTGTATTTAAGTACTTTGCACACCGGAAGGGTAGAATATGGCTGTATTTTTGTTAAATTATTAAGACCTATTGTAATCCATATATCGCAAACGAATAAAATGAATTTAAATTTGATATTCGAGACTGCGCGTTTCCTCAATCGCCTCATCCAATATACTCCTCATTTGCTCTAGTTTTAGTTTCTGGGCGACTGTTCTATTATCGTCTGAATAAACCACAACTGGGGGATTCATGATGTCATCCACGTGTATTGGTTGCTTTGCAACTTGTGGCGCCGCATCCTCAGCCGTACTATTTTCATCCGATGAGGGTGACTTTCTGGTGCCATGTAATGCCTCCTCTACACTACTCGCGAAGTAGATCGAAATTGGACGAGGCAAATAGTGTAGAGCGGTGCTTCGATTCGCTTCGTGCAATCTCGCTTCGCCGCGGGCGACTTCCGATCGCTGTCGGTTTCTTGCGCCAGTGTCAAAGGACTTCACGAAGTACCACGAAGTTACATGAAGCGTCTCACTATACTACTCGGCGTACGCCAGTTATGAAATTTTTTTATATATATAAATATTAAATATATAGCTTTCTACATAATCATTTATTTAGTTACCGCATTGACGTCGTACTGTTCACGCAATTAGGTACTTATAGCAGCTGCCTCTTGAACGTCATTCATGTTAAGGGTACGGGACACTTAAGACGACTGAGCTCTTCGCGAAGTAGCACGAGTGTGTGGTCACGTGTTTCGGATTGCGATCGACTTCGACGAGCACTTCCTCAAAGTTACTTCGCGAGTAGTGTAGAGGAGGTATAAGATATCGGTAAACATAATATTATGTAATTTGCATCATATCAAAGAGTATATATATTAGTCTGTGTGTATGATGGTATTGGTGTACTATATATTTTATTTATCTATGGTCACTTGCTTGTCAATGATTGTCATTTGTCATATTAGTTTGTGATTGTTTTGTTGTAGTAACCGGCTGTTTCTATTTATATAATTTTCTCTAAAAATTGGTACAGTTTTTGTGATAATAAACAATAAAAAAAAATTTAAACTTTGGAAATGGTTCGTGTAATCACTCAAGAAACTTACGATGAAATTGTGAAGGAGAACATGGAGGAGTTCGAGATGAGTCCAGAAGAGGCAATAAAAGAAGCTATAGCGCAGTTTGAAGCACAGGTTCGTAAAATATTACTGTTATTATTAATTGTAATGTTAACATTTAGTAATTATAACGGGGTAGATCGATATTGATGTTAGTTTTATTTTAACACTTTTAATGTTATTTATTTTGATTTCGCTTCATAAATGTTTAATTCTTCTACACAATGTTCTAAATAGTCATATACACTCACTTTTATGACTTTAAAGGTTAGCTAATTATTTTAAATTAAGCAAATTAGAGCACTACACTGACAACAACATTACTCGCTCGACGGTAGGTAACGTACTCCCACTCGACGGTAGGTAACGTACTCCCACTCGACGGTAGGTAACGTACTCCCACTCGACGGTAGGTAACGTACTCCACATCAACTTCCAGCATGTCCTACCAGTTCCAGTTCCATCTAGTAGGGTGCTCTTTGCTTACTGGTACAAAGCTTTGCTGCCACAATGAGTGTTGGCGAACTTCACATGTCTTCGATATATTTTTTTCTTATTTCTCATCCATGCAGGTTTCCTCATGATGTTTTTCTTCACTGTTGAGCATGTGGTAAATCAGCAGTTAAAATTACTACTAACAATTTCATTTCATTGGTGCCAGCAGGGATTGAATCCATGTTGCTCATGTACTGTGAAATTTGCAGCGAGTGCTTATTTCCTGACCTATCATGGCTCTTATTTATAGTTTATTTCTATTCTAATTTCTTATTAAATGTTTCAACAGGGTGTAGATTTATCTAACATAATCAAGGATTTGACTCTTGAATCTGGTGATAAACATCTGGTCAGCTTAACAGTGAATAAGCTGAAGGAGTTATGTAAAAGAAACAAAAATGACGACAAAGACATTTTGGAGCAGTTGGATGCATTGAGGGTAAAAAAAAATTTTCTAATTATTCATATTAACATGGGAATCAAATCTGACTTTGTATTTAATCTAAATCTAGTTCTAACCTTAGTGAAAATTTTGACAAATAACAGTTATTTATAAACTTTTAAGGACTATTCTCACAAATCAAAAACTAATAAAATTTCAAGTAACAAATTGGCATATTGTGAGGGCCTGATCTTAGATGAAATTTTTCATACTGTACTTTTCACTTACACATTTAAACATAAATTTCTTTATCATTATTATAGTGTGATACTCAAAATTTTACTATTGAACATAGATGGGATATTTGCCATAATTGCCACACTTTGCAACCACAGTTTCTTATTATATTAGTGTTAGGCGATGCTGCTGCCCATCTTTTGTTTTGCTATCCCTGTCGCTTCTTACAATATCTGTGGGACATCTCACTATTCTCCTATTAAAATGATTTAACTTATCAAATTGTTTTCAGGTAGAATGCAAAAAAGATATTGCACACAGAGTGAGGGCAGGCAAAGATGGTGCTTATTCAATACTCATAGACCTACTAGACGAGAAACTTAGAAGTTATATACAGAAGGAAAATAAAAAAGATGAGGATTTAATAATTAAAATTTTTAAAACATTAGCATCATTAATGGATTCACAGCCTGATTTGCTTGAACAAAAGGGTGTTGATTTAATTAAAAGGTAATGAATTAAGATTATATGCTTCAGGTCAAGGTATGAAATTCTATTAAAATGGTTGGAATGCCAAACAAAGTAATGTTATAACTACAGTCACTGTTACAGCCTATTAAAGTCTACTGCTGAACATAGGCCTCCCCATAGATTGTCGCATATGGAGGATAGTTGCCATGCTTACCAAGCCTCTTATGACACCCACGGGTTAATATGGGGTAGGGAATGTTCTTACACCACCGCTACACAGTTAATTATTATAACTACATAGAACTTAATATAATTTAATGTTAATGCGTCAACATGTAAATGTAACGTTACGTGTAATAACATTATTAAGCTGTTGCAATTTGTCTTTTGCTAATGAAATGACATATATACAATATGTATGCGTTCCTTATAAAATTGTAAAACAAACTTTCCAATTTACTGTAAGTGGCTATTGCATCTCATAGACACCTTCTAACAAATAAGGCTACAGATAGATGCCTTGTCACACCTGAAGACGCAAGCCAGCTATACATGTTGGCCGAGCAAAGGCGAGTACCAGTTTATGGACAGAACATTTGCCTAGCCTCGTCATTGCTGGCGTAGCTGGCTGAGTGCAAGCAAGAGCCAATGTGTATATGGTTCCTTTGGCATGCCTGGCTACCACTCGGGATCGCTCGTCACGACTCTTCTCATTTCGGAAAAGTGTCGGTTTTTCTGCACAAATCAAAGGTGCTTGCCTGCACTCGGAAATTCGTGTCCAAGTGTTAGTTGGCCATGTCAGTTTGTTCAATCATTCAAACTTGGCCAACATGTACACTAGCATTCGCCTTGTATCAATTTGCCTACACTCGCATGGGCCATGCCCAACATGTGTTGCCGGCTTTAGATGGAATGGTGCACAGCTTGTAATTATACTGGCTCCCTATAACCATCAGCTCACTCACTCACACAGCCACTCCTGTACCGCAGCACTACAGTTACTGCCTGCACTGCTATGTTCAGAAACAGGTGAGATGGTGGTGCCTACGCAAAATCCTTGGCAAAAAAGAGCCCTACAAGCTAGCGTCGCCACAGCAATAATAAAGTTGTAATTAGATTTTTTATGTACTGTGTAGTTGCATCATAAAGTATTCCATTACCCCATGTCGTCAAGTTGGTGTCGCAAGAAGCGACAGAGGAAACTGAAAGAGAAGATGGACAGCAGCATCTTCTTGATAAAACTCAGTAATAATATAAAAAATGCGGTTGTCAATCAGCCCGCCAATACTAACTATGGCAAATATACTCCCTACGAGGCAATTTATGGGAGAAGCCTATGTTCTAAAGTGAACTTTAGATGGGCTATAATGAGTAAAATAAAATTTATTTTTTTGCAGCACACTAGAGAAAGTTCAAAATGAAAACATTTTAATAGAAGCGCTCAAATGGGCAAGTGTATGTTGCGTCAAACATGAAATGAACCGTCAGAGGATATATGCAAAGAATATTGGCGAGAACTTGAAAATCCTATTAAAAAGGAAAGGCAGTGCAAAGGTAGGTTTATTTCATGCATTTTTCCCCTATGGGCAAAATCCCCTTATGGGTCAATCTATGGGGGAGGCCTATGTTCATTAGTAGACATTTATAGGCCATAATGGAAATATGTAAGGCGAAGATATCCGACGATAAAAGGATTTCAGTGGTCCTCCGCTGTATTTTTCCAGCACAAAGTAATTGTGCGACGTTTGGTGGAAAAAAGTTACTTTTTGAAGCGTTGTTGCTTATAATCAGAAAATAAAGTATCTTAATAAATTTATTATCATGTCTTTCATATTATTGAATATTGTTATATGGTTATCGTTAAAAAAACTCTTAATTTCAAAGTGTTTTTCCTGGCGATTTAATTATAATTTTACTATCGATGGGTCAGCACCACTGGGAAGAAACAGAAACAGAAACTTTTTTATTCAATATAGATTATAAATAATACTTATTGAAAGTCACTCTTTTGTTTGATTACCACTGGTTCGGAAAAAACTTCTGTCCTGGGAAGAACCAGCAAGAAACCCAGCAGGACTTTTTTTAAATAACAGCTTACAATCATGATGTTACACAAATTAACAACACAACAAATTAGAAATAGCTTGGTAGCGATCACCTCATTTCCAGGGGTTATTATCATCCATAAATTCCTTAATATTATAATAACCCTTTTTATACAAACTTAGTTTAATAAAGTTTTTGAACTTTGAACAGGTCAAACTTTGTATATTTTCTGGAATTTTGTTGTAAAAGCGTATACATCGCCCCAAGAATGAATTACTGACTCGATGGAGTCGAGTAACTGGTACTACTAGCTTGTGTCTGTTCCTAGTATTTACAGAATGAATATCACTTATTTTTGTAAAACTACTTTTATTTTTGTGTACGTACATTACATTTTCATAAATGTATTGAGAGGCCAAAGTTAATATATTAATTTCCTTAAATTTTTGTCGCAGCGACTCTTTAGGCTTTAAATCATAAATTGCTCTTATGGCCCCCTTCTGTAAAACAAATATAATTTCAGTGTCAGAAGGAGCATGGAATACCAACGTAAAATAGTAGTATAATGCTGCAGTATTTCTTATAGTGAATGTATAGAACTGGATACCCTTTTTGCTGGTAATAAAACTTTCCGTTATGCATTGAGTTTTAGTCATTGAGTCTTAAGCACTTTTGTAATGACGCGACGCGATGCGAGACTATCAATTCCCCTTTTTTACTAGAAAAATCATTTAACAGCCAGTGTCGCCCAGAAATAGTTCTACTGAACATCTTGCTCAGCTTAAAGCCGTATTGAATTGTTGAAATTTCAAATTTTTTCGGGTAGTTTGATATTCCATATGGATTCAGTTATTTAGATATTTCATATTGTTTCAATTATATGAAATTTCATATTATTTAAGTTCTTTGAAACATCACATTGTATCAGTTGTTTGAAATTTCATATCTTTTAAGTTATTTTGAAATTTCATATTGTTTCAGTTATTAAGTGAAAGCCTCCAAGTGATACGAAAAATGACATTGGATGATGATGTTCGCGTCGAGTTCGGCAAAGCTCACGAACATGCCCGGGAGCTTGGCATACAGTTATTGGAGATCTTGACAAATTTACTGAAGGGTAGTTATTTATTCAAGATTAAGAAGGGTAGAGGCAGATACTTAACAAACAAGTGCCGATTGTTGAGTGTTGGTTTGCTCAGGTGTATACTTACTAAGCTTCTAACACTGTGTTCAGTTTATATTATTATTTAAAAAAAAATAAGATTTTCAAGTAATTTTTATTTTAATTTACAACTGGTTCGAAAAATAGCTCTATCCTGGGAAGAACCAGCAAGAAACCCAGTGGGGAAAGTAATTTACTAACCGCACTATTATTTTGTAAAATCTCCTGTATTGACACATACAACAATATCTAAAGAGTAGACATGTCTTATTATAATTTTTTTTATATATTAACATGTATGCGGCTCACCTGATAGTAAGTGCCGACAGCCGCGCATGAACAACTGGAACACCAGGAGAGTTGGAGATGCGTTGCCAGCCTTTTAAAAATAAGCAAGCTCGTTTCTTGAAGGTCCATGACTCGTATTGGTTATAAGTTAATTAATTTATATTTATTTGAAGCTACAGTAGGCTAACGGTGTGTTGCGGACCGCGAACTCATAAAGTCGAGTCTTGTCGTGAACCATTCCTAGCACTTAGCATTTTAAACTTACCTGAAGTGGTTAGCGGGAATTTTAGTAATTTATAGTAAATAGCATTGCTTGCATTTTTTATATATAAGAAAAAAGTTCATATTTAGTCTCATCTGTGTCGTACATCTATTTAGGTTTTTATGGAGTATGACAACCAGATGGACTATGTGCAATCTAACGTAAAAATATTGTAATCTAACATTAAACCTGCACCTTAAGAATAAAGACAAATATTCATAATAGTTTGAAAAACCCAAAAGTGCACGCAGTAATTTTGATGAAATGAAAAAAAATTAAAAACAGAGACGATAATTTCTACGAGAAAATAAAAACAGAATCTGATTGACTTTCAATAACTTTTAAACGGTGTTGAGTTAATTGACAAAAATCAATAAGGATCCTATTTAGAATGTGTGGAATTTTATTTAATACTATATATCTCAATCTAATGCTTACATTTCTATTAAGCGAGAAGACTCACCGACGCACAGACCAACGGACGGCAGTCCATATATTATTTCAATTACATTTTTTGTTATGTAATCTAAAGTGAATCAATTAGAAAATAAACTAATCTTATAATTCAATGTCTGTAGATATTGTAACGTTAATAATAATATGAATTTGATGTCTAGCTAAAAGTATAAGAACAATTTCATGTAGCAAATTGAGGTATGGCCTGGCCACATATCGAGAGTAGAGCACTCCCTCATGTTGTGAGGCGTGCAATAAAAATTTTACGCGGAACAATACTCTGATAGAACGAGACGGTTTTATTAAATTAGTAGTTTTCTTAAATACGGTATATTTTTCCACCAAACAGAGAACACCAAGCCGCCCGAGGTGTCGGAGCTGATGCTAACGATCGCTTCGCTCCTGGTGAGGAATGAACTGTGTGCCCTGGTCGCGGAACATAGCGGCGGTCTGCTGTTCACAGTGCTCGCAGATAACTACGACAACGTCGGCGTTATCCAACAGGCGTGCAAATTGTGAGTATTTTTTATGTATTGTGGATAATCAGAATGTGTTACTAAAGGCACATATGGCAATTCACAATGCTGTGTTATTGGTATGTCACCCTACCTTAATGTATGGTAGTGAAATCTGGGTGTGGCAGAAGAAGCACGAGAGTAAAATAAATGCTGTAGAAATGCAGTTAATAAGGAGTATGTTAGAGCTGAGTTTGAATGACAGGGTGAGAAATTGTAAGATTAAAGAAAAGTGTGGTTTGGTTGATTATGTTCTGAAAGGAATGCTTCCGCGGTTTGGTCTTGTAGAAGATTGAATGAGGAAAGAGTAGCAAATTCATATTGAAGAAGTGAACGGCAGAGTTGGCAAGGGACACCCTAGGTATATGGATGTAAAGGAGGCGAGAAAGGTGTGTCAGAATTGTGCTAAATGGAAGACTGTACTCTCTGCCTACACGTCTCTGTCTACACTGGGGAAGGACCACGCTCTCACAGAATACCAGCGTAAAATAGCAGCTTAATACTGCTGTGTTTCATATGGTGAGTGTAGTGAACCGGAGACCCTTCTTAATGAAAATGACGCATTTTATCTTAGTCCTCAGGGGTGACAACGCGTCTGCATTTTGATTCTTAATTGAAGATAAATGTAGATGTCATCACATCATCAGCATCCACTTACCATGAGGTGGACTGGTTGCTCGTTTGTCACTCTATGCTATAAAAAATGTCGTCATTAAATCCGCATATTTTACTGTTAGGGGGTTTGAAGATGACAAGCGAGCACACAGTCCACCTGATAGTGGATTCTGTGGCCGATAGACATCTACATCTACTCGTATCCTCAATTAAAAATCAAAATGCAGATGCTTCATAACAAATTGATGATTATTTTAAATCTAAATTACGCCACATTAATATATCCAGGCGAAGTCGGGGCAGGTCTCTAATATATAAATATAGTTAAATATGTTCTAAGTTAAAAGATAATGAGAGTGTGAGTTGTTCAAAGTAATAAGCTTTATTAATTTTGCGACAACAAGCAAGCCAAGTAGCACCCTATCGACATTATTTAGAAACCGCACAATTTTTCAGCTGATTGGAAGTGAGATCTCAAATACAAACACCTCTCATTGTCTATGTAAAGCGATTTTTTCTTCACTATAATTTCGTTTTCTAACTTGGACCTTTCATGTATGAGTTCCGCTCTTAGTTTCTGCGTCTCTAAAGATCGCTTCTGTAAAAGGGTCATGCTATCGTTCAGGTCTTTGACTTCGTCTATAAGGCCCACTAAAGACCCCTCTCTACAATTTTCAACGTTAGGTCTAATATTTTTAGTTTTCAGTCTCGTTTGTGCAACTTGTATCCTTTGAGAAACCTTAAGCATTTCCTCGTGCAACGTTTCAAGAATGTTCTCCGTTTCGCATATCTTCGACAGTGTAAAGCGAAGCTGGTTCTCTAATTCGGTCTTAACTTGTTCAGTTCGAGCGATTCTGTCGCTTAATGCCTTGTTAACTTTAATGTCTTGTGAACGCAGATCCCTTGCAGTGTTTATTAGTAGCGCGTCAACTTTGCTACGGAGTTCCTTAGACTTATCTATTGCATTTTTGAACTGTTGCAATCCAGACAAAGTGTATTGCTCCCAAGATTGAACATTCGATTGTCCTTCGGATAGTCGCGTCGCACCCGCCGATTGTTTAACATTGACCGATTTGGTTTCCAAGTCGACGTTCTTGCTCTCGTATTTGAAAGCGAGATATTTGTTGCTCCAATCTTTTTCTAAAGCGCTTTTCGCTGCCACGTTCATTTTCATTTGATACTCGATTTCTCTTAATGCATCTGTCTGCAGTCTATTAACGTTTTGAATCAAGACTGATTCGTTAAAAAGCGCATCTTGTGGTTCGTCGTATATTGTATCCGATTGCATTCTATTACGTCGTAAGTTTAAACACTCTTCTGTAATGTACTCTGGTATTTTTAAAGTGTCCATAGCGTTCTTTAGTCGTTGTCTCAGTGCTTCTAAAACTGATATTTCCGCATCGATATCTCGTATAGCTCTCTCCAACTCGGTCTTCCAATAGTTGATATGTCTCGCTCGGTGCTTTAGTTGGTCAGTGCTATCACTGAAATCATTACAAGACACTTGGTTCACTTTGACTATGCAGTTTTTGGTGATTGCTGTATTTTCATCGGTCCTACCGATTATGTCCCCTTTTAGTACTTCTTGATTGTGATTGTGCCAATGTTGGACAGTCTTCAATTCTGTGTTGTTGTCACTAAACGCAAGATAGTTTTCATTTCTAATATCAGTCATTTTGTTCAATCTCTATGAAGAATTCTGAAGTTAGACCAGTATGTTATACGAAGACATTGATCAAATATTGTTCCCATAGTTTCGTTATATGGTTGTTACGGTGTGTTTCTTTTGTTTTAGAATAACAGCGTTGGCGGGCAACGACGATGTTAAAAGACAATTGGTGAAGAGTGGTATCGTTCCAATTATAGTTTCCTTATTGACAAGGTATTCGGTAAGTATTATAATAAAAGTTTTTTTTGTATAAACATGAGTACAAAACATGCTTGTATGATTGTTGGTAGAAATAATATTATAGTTTTCACATATTTTTTTTCTTTTTACGGCCTACAAATATAATTGGGCAGAAGGAAGTATAAATACGACAGTTAATTCCATTAATAAAAAACTAAAGATATTTAAAAGTAAAAAAAGAAATAACAGTCAACAATATTACAAAATTAAATTTTCAATTCTTTTCGATTATAATTATAAAAATATATATTTATAATCTCATAAGTTGTCAGAATTATATAAGAAAAGACGTATTATTAATAATATACATATTTATTAGTGTGTGGTGTGTTTACTCCTTCTTTATCAGTCCACTGTTGAATACGGGCATCTCCCATTGTAGGAAGGATTTTTATGGAGCGTGAGGGGGGGGGGGGCAAACGCACATGTGACTCACCTGATAGCAACTTTTGACCGCCGCCCATGAACAACTGCAACACCAGGGAAATTGTAGGTGTGTTGGCGTCTTTTCAAAAAAGAGTGGGCTCTTCTCTTGTAGGTCCTAAGTCTAATCGGTCCGTAGAAATAGCTAGTGGTAGACGATTCCACAAACAAGTCGTGTGAGGAAGAAAGATTCTGGTATAACACCAAGAATCCAGAAGGTGTAGATATAAGCAAGGCATAATCGCCACAATTGGCTAGCGGATTGTTGATATTCCACATGTATGACGAATTGGGGTAGTGGATTCGTAACACTCTGTAACCATACGGCTTGTAAATACATAAGCTTACGTGCTGATGATATGCGCATTATTTATACTTAATATATTTCAATTTTTAAGTTATTATATTTCTTGGTGTACAATAAAGCATATATTGATGGATTTATTTATTTACTCATTAATTTAGACTGCTGATAGTAATTGTATTATACGTGAGAAAATTTCGGATATGTACTCACTAATTCGCCTGCCCAGCGTAGTGCATGCCAGCAAACGCATTCTTGGAAAAGATTATGTACAATAATGGACTAAAAATGCTATTAAAGACACCATACAGACGGAATTATTGATTCCGTTGTGCCTTTGTTTTAGAACTACGTGCAAAAAAAATTATTACAATTTTTTTCTATTATTTATTCATTTTCAGAGTAACCCAACAGCGTCTACTTTAACGCTAAAGTGCGTCGCAGCGTTAACTCTACGCGAGCCGGGACACAGCAAGGAGTTCCTCGAAAACGGAGCACCGGAAGCCATTATTGAATGCTTAAAGATTCACCAAGATGTCGCTAGTGTTCAGGTTTGATTTATTTTTATTGTTACTCTGTATACCAGAGATTGCTAACCTTTTTAATCTTAATATTTCAAATTTATAAGCAATGCGGCTACTGATTACGCTGCATATAACTATGGGTACTATAAAACAAATAATACTCTAGAAATAAGTTAAAACAAATGCGATATAAACTTTAAAGTTACTTTTATTGAATGTATAAGAAAATGTGCACTGCAGTTATGATTGTAGCATGAATGGGTCGACTCGACTATAACTGAAATAGCAACTTAATTTTGCTGTGTTTCGTATGGTAAATGTAGGGAATCGGAGACTCTTACTAATGAAAATGAGGCATTCCATCCTAGTCCTCAGAGGTGACAACACATCTGCATTTTGATTAATCGAGGTTAGATGTAGATGTATATGGGCCTAAGTCTACTTACCATCAGGTGAACTGTGTGCTCGTTTGTCAACCATATTCTATAAAAAAATGTCTTCATTACTTTTTTCCCAGAAAAACGGCTGTTGGGCGATACGCAACATGGTTGCCAGATGTCGCGAGTACAACACCAAATTCCACGAATTGGACATCCAGAGCATTCTGGATAGGTCGTACGACAAGTTTGGGAAGGAGTTCGGCTTCGATGTAAAATCCGCGTTGAGAGACCTCGAATGTGAAGTTAAACTGGACGAGCAGTGGACCGGGAAAGGGGTGCAAATGCAGCAATAAAAAACACTATTTTGTTTTGATTACATGAATGTACTTTTTATTTATTTATAAATAGCCTATAGCCTACTAATATTTATTATATATTAATATTAAAAATTACTACTAACTACAAGAAACAGCGTGTGCTTCTTTTAAAATCGTAACGTCAGGTATATTAAAAATCAAAATTCCCTAATTCCTTTTTTAACCTAAGTTTGCGGGAATTACCACACACACGCGCACATACGCGCACACACACACATACACTGACGCGCGCACACACACACACACACTGACGCGCACACACACACACACACACACACTGACGCGCGCGCACACACACACACTGACGCGCGCACACACACACACACACTGACACACACACACACACACACACACACACACACACACACACACACTGACGCGCGCGCACACACACACACACACAGAGAGAGAGAGATACATAGGTCCGCTTGTGGCGGATGCTACGATTTTTTCGTATTCCTTCACGCTTTAAAAAAGGGTTGTTTAAATCACGAATCGCGACTATTATTGTGCAACCCTTGAAGCGGTTCTGTCTGTTCTAAAAAATAAAAATAAAAATCGCGACACAATAAGAATAAAGAGATACGGGAGAACATAGGAGATGTATAAAATTGGATGCTTGACATCGTTTCTAACAGTTATACAAAAATATGTAGGTAATAAAATGATAAATTATAAGCATAAATTCATGATTTTTATTTCTGTAATGCTTGGGACAATCATAAAAACATTTTTTTAAACTGAAATACAAAGCTAATGCTTTTTTTTGTTTTAGCAAAAACGAAACGTTTTTAAATATCTTTACGTATTTTGTTTATGGCAATAGATAATGAAGGCTATTTTTATAATAAATTGCCGTCCTTATCAAAAAAATCATAATACTGAAACATTGACGCGAATCTGTAGTAATTAATATTTAATAATATAATAAATTTAAAAAACGATTGAATAGGCATCATTAAACTAAAAAAAATTGAGTATTATCCTACACGACTGAATAGGCTGTATGGTCATTGATCATTGCTTTTTCCGAAGGAGAATACCATATAATATATACTTTTACTCCTACACTCCTAGCGGAGATGCGGCATGCGCATTTGGCATTGTAACTGTTTTTTTTTGATAGATTTCGTGTTTTTACTTTCGTGAATTTATTTAACTTGACCCTTGGATTATCTCTCGAATCACAGGACAGTAGTTTGTTGCGCCCACATAATGAAAATAATGTTGTACTTAAGTTTTGAAAGGAAAAGAACGGACAATGTACAGCCTCCGGCTGTTTTTTTAGATGGCATTTTATTGATAATTGCAGAACATAGTTAAACAATTAAAAAAGGTTGAATTTTATTTTACTTTATTTAATAATAACTACAAAACTGCATTCTTTTGTATTCTTTTCAATTTATTCAAACAACTTATCACAAGAACGAGTGATTTTACTACATAACTTAAAAATCATAAAACATAAATTAAAAACAAAACCCCAGGTCCTGCAAACATATATTTTTTTATATAAGTAGCAAATGTTTAAATCTTCAAACTAAGACATATTTTAAGTTTGTTCACGCCGGGCCCAAGCTTGTATGGAATCAAGTTCATCTCCTTTCATATCTTTAAAGTTATCTTGAAATTTCATGTTGTTTCAGTTATTAAGTTAAAGCCTCCAAAAAATATACAATAATTCATACCAGAAAACGCTTGATCAATTTAGAATTAATAATAGAACTGATTAATTTAAATGCACTATCAGAGATATTCGGAAACGCAATAAATTGTTTGTTCGATAAAAGTTTAAGTTATAAACAATAAATTTCGCCATTGTAAAATATTTATTTAGCAATAAAACAATTTGTACAATTTTTCACATTTTGTTTAATTTAATATTAAAAATCTTTCACAGTGAAACTTGGAACAAATTTTTATAAACCTTATAAATAATTTCGAACATTCATAAAATGTCCGCTTAAATATAAACAAAATATCAGACACATAAGTTTCAAACTTTAAAAGGTAACACGAATATTAAATATAATTAATACAATTGGCCTGACCAAAATTAAACAAGTTCGTACAATCTTATAAAATGCAAATGGACATGAACAAAAAATTCAAAATGTCATGATTACATTTGTACATTGGAAATGACGAGAATGTTTTTCTATTTCAAACAGCGACTTCATAGTAGTTGAAAACTACCAACTATGGGGAAATATTGTGGTGTTAACCCCTCCCTCAATCAAATCAATAAAAAGTATTTGTCTGATCATCATCATCATTCATCATTACAGCCCTTTGTCTGATATGACATAAATATTTTTAATTTCTCCATAATGTTAGAACCCTTGTCCAACACTGTGGACAATTATGGGTTTTGAAAAAAAAGACATCTATATAAAAGATATACACATTTGTACAATTTTCGCAGACGGGGAATCGTTTCTTAAAAGTAATTACAAGACATCCGGCTCGGAGGACCATTTAATACTATTACTTACAATTTACGGCCTATAAATTCCACTGCTGAAAATAGGCCCCACATAGATGCCTTATAAGATCAATTTCACCGTAGTTGCCACGCTTGGCAGCCACGGGTTAGCGACCGCAGTTTTTTTAAAATAATTTTGCGTTGTTATCAGGAAGATGGTCCTGCCCATGTAGATCTAGTTTCCCTCTGTCGCCTGTTACGACACCCTCGATGATATATGAATATATGTCATCGAGTGGTATATAAATATACACCACCGCTACACGGTATTTAATAAAATACTCTTAATATCTTAGAAATTAATTGGATTGAAAAATTGTTGATATGTACATGTAGATAACAATTAAGACATCAAGAAACAAGTGTAACACACTATTTCACCCACTCAGGGTTTGAATTTTTCAAAATTTCAAGTCAATCCCGCGAAGAGTTTTGGGAGATCTCGTGATGAGTGTGTGAGTGATTATACATGGTTATTTTTCAAAGAGTAGCCAAATTTTAAATTTAAGTTCAAATATGTAAATAATAATATACATAATACGAGTAAATAAGGTTTCTACTTTTATTTGAAATTATCCCAAATTGAATGTGGTTGTTGAAAAGAACGTTTTTGCCTACTGATCGACCCTTACGAATGTGTGCGTGTAAAAATCAATGTAAAATCAGTTAAAATAATGCATTACCACGCATTTTGAATTTAAAAGATAAAAAGGACAGAATGTTTGAGATTTTTTTAAATAAATTTTACTTCACCATTTGCCGAATTTGCATTATTCTGAACCTTCTTTGCAAGTTTGACCGGTTATTACAAAATAACCTAATATTTAAATATAGATTGAGTCCAAACAAGTTCCACTAAGCACAAATTATAACTATTAATAAATAATCACAAAAAAACAGTGTGCTATCATAAACTATCACTTTCTTAGATTTTATCGCCTTGTCTTTCACTCCAATATAGATAGATACTATTAGAGTTATATATATCTATTTATACAATTTTAATATCATTAGTTGGTAAGAACGGAAAATTAATAGAAGAGAAAATGTTCCAGTTGTATGTAAGAGAACAAAAAGCCTATGTGACAAATTATAACAGTAATCGCTGAATATTATTATAAAATTAGAAGTATTAGGAGTTTATGTATTTGAATACATATTTAGTTGCTTGATTGCCTCGTTAGTCAAGTGGTTATAGTAGTGCGACTGCTGATCACGAGGTCGCGGGTTCGAATCCCGGGTCGGGCCAAAAAATCAATTATTGAGCTTTTCCATCGAAAAACTAAGTAGCTGCCCGGAGTGAGGAAGCTGACAGAGTCTCACCCCTGTGCCTCGGAAAGCAGGTAAAGCCGTTGGTCCTGCGCCTGATCTCTCTTCGCTCGTGTCAGTTTACCGTCCCATCGCACTTTGAGAGCGAGGGAATAGAGAGTGCGCCTGTGCCTGCGCATACACTTGGGCACTATAAACCTGTCCTGCGCGATGGCTAGTCTCCATTGAGACCGTGACCGCCTTGACCGAAATTCGGTCTGGAGGACATTATTATTATTAGTTACTTGATCGTGTTTGTGTAAATTCACAATTAATATACATGGTACGTATTGTTTGAATTTAAAAAATAAGACCAGCGTATAATACTCGTATGATGCCCCCTTACAATCGGGAAATATGCAACAACCTCATATTTCTAACATCGTTTTTGTTATGAAAAATGCGGTCGCATAAACATACATTGACGCAGACGGTGTCAGTCAACATTTATTTATTACATTCTATATACGCAGCGTAACAATTGCGAGACCTCTAATACTGTTATCGTCAATCCGTCTGCCTAGCGTGATGATAAAGGCAGATCCTCCGTACATTGGAACATGCCCATGTCTAGCAGTTGGAGTTTTATTAGGTGATTGATAAAGATGGAAAAATTAAGAATTTTTTGTAATGAGCGAGAAGAAATTATGCATGTAAACAAATTTCCAGGGGTTCGTAACATTTTTATTTAGAAATTTTATTTATTAAGAATTAGCTGATAACCGCGACTTTATCCGCGTTGCTTACATGCACTACTGTACACATAATGCTTATAAAAATCGTTTTCTTAAAACTTTATTTTAAATGAAGATATCGCAACGATTTTTTTTTAGATAAGAGCCAAGTGTCTAAGAAATAAAGCTTAGGTAACCTAATTGAAATCTATCCAGGTCGTGTTTCCGTGATGCGGGCACAACTGCAAACCTCTATCATTTTATTTATATAGATATGAATCAAATTTTTTTTACGCTACTAACTAGTTCTCTATAAAGTTAGAATTATCACATTTTATAACTAAACATATCTATTATACTGTCAATCTTGAACGTCGAACATCAAAAATCAACAACAGGAAACTAACAATGACAAAACCTACTGAATAAAACATACACAAGAGCAAACTTTCAGTGCTTTGCAATCAGGAATAAAATTAAATTTGTGTTACCACCGTAGTTAAAACAAA